TCTGTAGGAGCCCCAGGCCATACCTGGCTTGCATTGAGATGCCCCAGATTCAGGCCTGGGAGTTCTGGCCCCTTGGATGCTCATCCCTCCCTGCTCAGGTGTCCATGCCCATGGATGGCTGCTGTGTTGCTTTCCACGGCCAGGCTTGCTGGCTCAGAGACCAGCAGCCCTTACCGTGACACACGTGACCTTCTGCTTTTATGATGCTGCTCCCGGTGTTGGTAGTGGAACAGGGGTTTGGGCACAGGGCCATGGCACTGAGTTACCTTCACAGCTCCACTTTTGTTCTTACTTTGGAGACGGTGGCTTCTAAGGTTGCCCAGGCTGAATTCAAGCTTGTGAATTTCCTGCCTCAGCCTCTGGAGCTAGACCTAGCTAAGGTCACTTCTCTACAACCCCTAATGTAGGCATGGGTGGGGTCCTTTGCAGGAGCCAGCGTCCTCCTCCCCTCTGAGGAGGGGTCCGCGCTTCTTGATTCATCCTGTGTTTTTGCTGCAGCCACCCACGAATACTGATGGAGGGGAGAGAGCAAGAGTGGGAAGAAGACAAAGAGGGAGAAACAGAAGGAGAGAACTAGGGGTGCAGAAAGGCCAGGACGGACCGAGGGAAGAAGTGAGAAAAGTCGATTTCGTGCAGAGCAATGAGATGAATAACGGCTTCCCTCAACACGTTGTCCCCTTGGCTATGACGTCAGTCTGCCTCTCAGACCCTCAGGATGTGGCAGCTTTACCTGAACCAATCAGAGGTGACACTGTAGCTGTTGTTGCTGTTCAGCCTGTAGGTGACACTGTACAAGGCTGCTCTGCTGAGGCTCTCATTCCAAGCTGTGTTCTGGGCCCAAGCTATGACGTACCACTTCCCCTGGAACTGCAAGAGTGAGAAGACAGGTGAACCCCACAGAGGGCCCCAGACCCACAGTTTCCACGTTGTCTCTGCTGGTGACTCTGTAGAGTGGGCTGGGAATGGGCTGCCCTGAGAAGCCACCAGCGGTTTGTGTCTTACAAGGCCCAGAGTGAGCCCGTGGGAGGAGTTTGCCCTGACCTGTGGGGTTGGGGCGTTCCGGTATAAGTGGCGAGTGGGTCTTTCAGAGCCTCGGTTTTCTGACTGCTGAGGAGGGACTGCAGATGTCCCGATCAAATGTGCACAGAGCATGGATCCCCTGAGCCGTCCCTCCCAAAACTGTCCTGAGTCCAAAGATCTCTTGCTCACTGTCCTTCTGCTGTCTCTTTCCCTTCAGCCTCTCCCTTCAGCTGCTTTTCCAGAAACTTACCTGGTCATATTGTAAATCTGGCTGCAGGAGGATCTTGCTCAGAGGTGGGCTTGGGATAATAGCTGAAATAGAGTCCTGAGCCTGGATATTCAGGGCCCCCAGCAGGGCGAGGCCCAGACATAGTTGCCCCAGGACCATGGCTACTGAGCAGCTGCTGGACTGGAGGGTGTTGGAAGATAGAGAGAAGGCTGAAGAAGCAGCCAGAAGGAATTATTTATAGCCTCCAGTCTGGCCCTCCTCGAGTGGGCAGGTCCGTTCTTTGCTAAACGCAGGACTAGTGAAGGACCTCATTGCCAGCAACTCCTTCAGAAATACGTGACAAGATATCCTCCCCACCCTGACCAGTCCGATTTGTGGACTGTAGCTCAAGAGCGACGTGGGACAGGAAAGACATGCCGTGACTTCCACCTTCCAGATCTCCCTCTCCATGCTCTCTGTGCCTCTTCCTTTCATCTGCCTGACGGATACTGCCTGTGGGTCAGCACCTGGAATTCGGGGAAATTCTCACATGTGACCTTCTGAACCCAGGGTGTGTGTGGGTGGGTGAGAGGCAACGTCCATTCGCTGTGACCACAAAAAGAAAGAGGGTGCTAAGTGTGGCAGCCCCTTGTCCGCAGTCCCATACTTCGGAAGATGAGACAGGAAGCAATTTGAGGTGAGTGTGGGCTACGCCGTGAGTTCCAAACCAGACATAAGTGCAGAGGAGACCCAGTCTCAAGAAAACCCACAAATAAAAAAGACAACAAGATAAAACCTAAAGAAAGAAAAGTGTCTTGGCGTGCCACTGACAGTGCATATCCTGGACAGGGAACGGCAGTGAGCCCACTGAGCCCAGATCTGGGCCCTCACCCTCCAGGCCCTCACCTAGGCCAGGGCTTGGAGCAGGCCCTGATCCCCTCTCTTCTCCATACCTCTGCCCCCATTTTCAGGGACAGGCAGGACATAAGGGATCCTCAGGGAATTTCCCTCTTCTCTGAGTCCCTTAGGTACAGACCGAGAGACACGTACACAGGCCATAGACATGGCTGTTAACCGAGCTGAGTGCCGAG